GGAGGATTCAAACTGCCATTGGGACAGCGAAATGAGACATTATGTCACATGGAGTCATAAACATAATGACAAATGCAACTGAAGAATCTGTAGTCCTGCAACCCCCAAGTGGACCAGTACAAAACAGCAGATAAATTGTCACTTCGGCTGTAACTGTTAAACCAGCTTTGAACCAGGAGGAAACGATAGTGACACCAGTTAAAGTGATTGCTCCAACAAGGAAGACAACAGCAAATGAGAAAGTGACTGAGCCACACAAAAGGAAGACTGCTGTGAGGAGTGCTGAGCCTAAAGGAACAGGTGGTAACTCCAATAGTAGTAGGTTAGATTGGGTCCGCAGGACAGTGGCTGACTGGGCTGATGGTTTAGGCCAGTGGTAAAAGGAGTGCCATTTGATCAGTGGGACGATTATGCAGAGGAGGAAGAGCATGGTCTTGGTAACAGTTTGGAACAAAAATAGCTGGTACAGGTGTGTTCAATTTGCAGGACAGCTTAATGGGAAGGAAGATTGCTACATCTGTACCAAGGCTAGGTCAGAAAGATTGCTTGTGCTGAACACAGTGTTCATTTGGAAGGAGTGTAGTCGTGAGGTCTTACAGACTGACTTGAATCCACAGCCGTGGTGCAAGGCTGAGTGTCTATCCTTTCTGGGCTCACCATCTTACCAACTGGTGGCCAACTTTAGAGCAGAGGGGAAGACTAATGTCCAGCGATGTAGAGAATTAGATGTGACTATAGGAGAAAGAAGTGAAGCATTGGGAGCTGTACCTGTAGGTAAAGTGAGTCCTGACCGGTGTAGTTACCAGTGGAAGCTGGACACACTGAACTGTACAAAGCCAAACTTGCATCCAGCTTCCCAGTTAAAAGGAAGCTCACTGTCAGTGATACTTAGAGCAGTTGAAAGAAAATCACGGCAGATGGTAATGATGGCATAGGAAGTGAAGCAGATTCAGGCTGGAGATGAGCTCGAAATGGAATGGCTGGACATCAGAGGAGAAGATAGAGAAGAGCTCTACCAGGTGGTGACCGAGTGAAACAGCAAGAGGATGAGCTGAGTGAAGGACAATGGACATCACATCACATCGTCATATATTCACATTACATATAAATCAATTGCATATAATCATTTTTACACATTTATTATCCAGTCATTTACATTACTGAGTATTTTCATTTAATCATTTTCATTTGATCATTTACATTTTATTTCAGTAGATTATCTATGTGTGTTTATGTGTAATGGAAATATACTACAGCATATTACAGAGCAAATTACTGGATATTTACACAATAGTTCAATCACAATACTAATGTTTATGTTGTAGATGTGTTATGTTTTAAATTTATGTTTGTGAATCTCACTATGTCTGTTTCTGTTTGCTCTCAGATCCAGTGCAGGCCCTTTGTTGGTGATCGCCCACAAAAGGCATCCAGAAGGAGGCCTGGGGGTCGCTCAGGAACTTTCCCCCAACCAGAAAGTCAAACAAATGACTCAAACGAAGCCAAGATTGCAAAGATTAATGTGTTTAGTTGGGGGTTTTTCGCCTGAGTCTGCCAGATAAGTGTCTTGATGTAAAGACCTGTGTTAAGCTGTCATAAAGTGTTTATTGAAGCTGTTTGTTTTACAGTACTGATGTGTATAATTGAAATTGTGTTATGTGTGGGGGAAGGGGGATCACCTTGTCAGTTATCCTTTCTTTCTAGGACTCTGTTTTATTTTCAGTGTGTTCTAAGCAAAATTAAAAAGTTTTGCCAAGTTAAAGCAGTACTTATTGTGCTTACGAGCATGTTTTTTTTAGAGTGTAGGGAGTCGGTTTAGTGTAGAATTGCTCTGTTAAGGTCAAAAGTTTATCTCTGTAATAAAAGTTGATCTCTTTTTTTATTTTTAAATGTGGTAGCAGGATAATGTTTAATTAGTCATTAGTAGTGTTAATTTGGCTTACTGATTAGTATTAGGAAGTGATGTATTCAGATAACTGTTTATGAATGTTCTTTTCATTTTTCTGTTCATGTTTATTCCACAGTGTTTAGTAGCTCCGTAGTCTTTCTAACTAAAGGGTTTATCCTGGAGGGACAACCAAATAGATCAGAAAACAACTGTTCAATTGAGTTTGTACTGTAAATTACAGAATTAACAAACCATAACTCAAGAACACTCACAGGAGGCCAGATACAGCCTACTACTGAACTACTTTGTGTTAGTATGCGCAAAGTGTTGTTACACTTAATGCTGCAGTGGGTATAAGTATACAGGGAGGGGCAGAGGGACAGTCGGCCAATTGTGGTTGTGCTAAACAATCAGAGGGGAATAAAGTATATTAAAATTAATACAATTCTGTATTTTATTTTATTTTATTTTTCAGTTCTGAAGATACAAGCCAGTCCTCTTTGGTGACACCAATCACCCTCCATACAAAGCAGGACACCGCTTACATTACAAACCGCTGTCCAGGAGGGCGCAGTAGCGTTACAGCGTTACAATGAATGTACTATATTTGTAGACCTGTGCCCAGGAAGTGCGACACAGTAACAGAAGATTATGTGAGAAGAACGGGACTAATAAACGTACATTAAAAGGTAAGCCTATTTATTTCATGCGTAACGCTGCTGGTGATTTTGAAGGGTGTGCGCTTGGTGCGTCTGCTGCTCAGCATCAGCAGCGTGGATATCCATATGTATCCACATGTCCAAGGCTGAAATGGCTGGTTAACATACATTTTGCTTGCTCTGTAACCTCCAACATCTTTACCGATCAGTACTGGAAATCTGATCTCACAGGCATTAGGCAGTAGTGCTCGTCTTCATCGTTTACATACGTCTCTACAACGCTTAGGTTAAATGAATAAGGGTTTGTTCATCAGCAGCATCTGGATGCATTAATCCGACACATGGAGCTTTCTCTAATCCTTGGGTATTTTCTGCCATACAGGTCAATACTGCGCCGTAGCAAATAGCGGAGAAGCCTTCAATGCCCATATGTCCCGCCTATCATTAAAAAGAGCTAGCATGGAATGATTATTTGAGGATAGTGAATTGCTTTTTCGTGCGTTGCAGTTATACGTTGGTATTGTCATTCACTGGCGAGTCGAATTTCCCTGCAGCCACACTGACGAAAATCTAAAATATCATCCCTAATCATCCACTGTCTCCACAGCCGAAATGTTCTCCCCAGGCGCTTGCGTCTGTAGGCTACTGCATTAGTGGAGAATTCCCACACAGGGAGGGACCCCAGACTGTCCCTAATTATGTGGTCATATTAGATTAGAGTAGACTGTTAAATTCGACAATGCCTTGCAGCGGCTTCCTGAAAGTCTACGTGCACTCGGCTGCATAGGCTGCACGACCAGCAGTTGACATCTGTGGTATTCTACATGTCGTCTACTGTTGAACGCTTTGTTTCCATGAATATATAATAAGTGTGCGCTGCTGTGGTCACACACCCACACCTGCATACTCCTGAGAGCGTCTGCGTGCATGACTGGCCCCGTGTGATGCAGGAGGCACGCACAGCAGAAAATGTGTAGGGGGATTCCCAAACTGTCAACCTCCGACTCCGACTGTGTGTGTAGACGCCCTGCATGTGCTCCGGACCAAAGACGAAAAGGACCATCCAGAGTGTTTCCAGGAACCAGTCCAAGAGCCAGGGTCTGTCATGGCCTGGGGTTGTGTGGCAAAGGTGATTTTTACATATGGTCCCAACTTTTTCTGATTTGCGGTTGTAAATTGACATGATTAATGGGTTAATGATTAATACAATTGGTATTTTAAAATGGATAAAGTGCTACAAATATTTTTCATCTCAACCGTTTAACTTCTTTTAACTTCAACTTCTGAACACAATGGCGGAGTCTGCAGTTCCCATGCATCATATTACTTGTACAATGCCTGTAGGCTATTTAATCCTACGAGCTCACTGTTTACTGTGCACTCTCCTAAGACAGTATGAGATCTGTAATAAGTTACTACTAATGAAACAAACATTTCCTACTGCTGCTGCTTCACATTTGTCTTTGACTTCTATTTTCTAAATGCTAATTAATTGGACAACACTCACCATTATATACACGTGGTGCACACTCACACACTTACAATACAGTATATCCCCTTCATGACTGACAATATGTGGAGAGGTAGGTGTAGGAGATAGGCCATTGCACCATTCTACCTGTTTTACCACCTTGAGGCATCGTTGCTGTTCTCTGGTTCTGTACACATAAAAAACACAACTCTCAACACAAGGGGCTGCATTGGTCAGTTGGGTGAGGGGTTGTAGGTGTGATATGCCCACATTGTGATGAGTCGTAGCCTACTCTACCTTAGCACCAGTTCTGCCACCAGTGTGTTGGCCTTGATAGATAAAAACAGTTTAACATCTAGCACTAATAAACTTGCATGGCGTGTTGTTATGGTATATTAATTGTGGCTCAGATTTGACAGTGAATAGTAGCAAATTCTTAAGCTAACAAGGTAAACAAAAGAGTCTTGCTCCTGTGCACATCCACGTCTCAATTGTCCTCCATACATGATTCGTCAATGTGGCGCCTTTCCCAGATGATGTCACCATCCAGTGTAGTGAAAGTTAAACCAGATCCAACTTTTTCACCACACACAACTGCATCATTTCACCAGAGCCCCCCGTGGTGCTGGTGCCGGCTGCAGTGAATGCAAGCCCCCATAGAAATGAATAGCGAGAGTTGCGTTTTTTTCACACCCTTGAAACTCTGTTTGAATGTGGCCTTTGGCTGGCATTGGGCGAGAGGTGGGGTACACCCTGGACAGGCCGCCACTCTGTGGCAAGACATGTAGACAAACATCCACACTCACTCACATTCACTTGTATAGGCAATTTAGAGTCGCCAGTCAACCTACCCTGCATGTCCTTGGACTGTGGGAGGAAGTACCCGGAGAGAACCCATGCAGGCACAGGGAGAGCATGCAAACTCCACACACACAAACACAAAAGGCCCTGGGTTGGCCTGGGCTCAAACCCAGAACCTTCTTGCTGCGAGGTGACAGCATTAACCACCATGCTGCTGTGTCAACTATATGTACACTTCTGTACAATGAATACGATGAAAAATGTATTGATATTTCCATCTAACTCTGATAGAAAGTGTATAGGCATATTTCTTAAATATCAAAGTTAATTATTTTAATGGTGCAGTCTAAAGATACTCTCAAATGTATGTGAAGAGTTCAGAGCGGGTCACAGCTGAGGCAGCATGGCTCTGATTAGGAGATAGTCACTGTCCCTTTCCGGATATTACCTTGGTGAAATCTAGCCCACAAGTGCTGATAAAGGCAGTCATAAGCAGTCAACTGTGTTTATCATGCTGCTTTGTGGAGCGTGCGGCAAAGGTATTGCTAATACTGTGTATAACTATAGCTATTAGATCACTGATTAACTATCTAAACTACTCCACACTAAGCTTCTGTTTTCTTGATATTACTCATAAATAGATGCTGTGGTGTTCATTGCTTCATTCTCAGTCTGAGGACATGCAGTGTACACTGTATGAACACGCTGTATCCTAGTACAGGCCAGCATGTCAGTGTGTGGGCTGTCAGGGCAATGATTCAGCATTTCTTGTAAAACCCATAAGAAACCTCTGAGTCTTCTAATCAAAGGTTGCGCCTCCTCTTCATTTTGTTGTTTCTTGCTCCTGACCACATTTGGAACACGCTGTTTAATCTGTCAACCTACTGTCAAATATTACACTGATTTCAAGTGTTGCAGTGCAGTGCAAAATCATGAGGTGTACCTAAAGTGGAACATCAGGTTACTTTGAAAGACAATGCAGTATTTTCACAGGGACTTCTGCTATTGTGGTGCTAAGCATAGTGCGGAACTAACGCAGTTTAATCTGAAGAGAAGATCTGACCCAGTTCACAGAAACTGATGGGGCCAGAGCAGGATGAGGGACTCACCAATGGCCCACATGAAGTGTTGTTCACTCAAATGCCAACACAGTTATACAACTTTTAAGGCTTAAGATTTCCAATTTATCTGCCAAGTCAACTGCCCCTGTTAAAATGAGTCGACAAAACAATTAGAAGAATGATTGTGGACAGGGTGTGAAAGGGGCTAAATGTTATATTTCATTTTATATTTTTATGATGCAATACTCCAGTGTGTTCAACAGACTTGGCCACTAAATCTGATTTTAATTCTGTTTTCTTTTTTGTTTTTTTTAAGCAAGACCCTAATGTAATTAATATTTTCTCTGGGCCCTACTCTTAACTTAGAAAAAACTGCAACCCCCTCCCCCAAATGTTTCAAAATAAAATGCTAAATAAATGAGAGTAGGAGCAACACAGGTTGCCAATGGCTGCTGCTGATGGACTTGACACTTAAATGAATGGATTTGATTTTGATTGATGTCTTCTTATTTATACAGTTCCTTATTTAACCTAATTCAGACTGAGTTTGATTGTAAGATCGTTTAGCACACAGTCACACTGAGCTAAAAAATAATGGAAGAAAAATGTTTAGAAAATTATACAATTATGACGTGGATGAGATAAATGGCAATAAAGTTGTAAAGTACTGTCCATCATACTGCTCACTGAACAAATACACAAACAGTAGCTTGGAGATGACAGAAGCAGCCACACTGCTCTTGTGATGGTGTGAGAAGGAAGCTGAGTTCCTGGAAAGTGTGATTTAGTGATTGTGTCCCCACATCCTCCCTTCACATCTAGCCTAAAGATGCATATGTATCTTTTAAGTCTGGGATTTAATTTGAGCATCTGTAGTGCTTTTTTAAATTCGTGATCAGATTTTAAAATGATTTTTTTTCATGGTTTTCCTTTAGTTTGTTTTTGTAGCTTTGTGTTCGTGGTGACCTACTAATCTTCATTGTCTCCCTTTTTTATTATTTGCAATACACACTTTTCATACAGTTAGTTCACCTTTGCACCCTATTATCCTCCATCATTCCTTCAAAGGCAGGGATATCACTGAGAGTAAGAGCAGCTTCAAGCAGTGCAAACAGCACCGAGCACTGCCTACAGCTTTCTTGGTCACATCTCATGCACGTTTCCTCTTGGACAAGTTGCCTTTTAGACTATGTTATCATGTCTGAAATCTAAGCCTCCTATCGGCTGCCTCTCTAGGTCATGCCTTCCAGCTGATTTCAAAACCAACAGGAGTCAGCAAGGTCACATGTGCTGGCATGTCTGTAAAATGTAGGGTAGAGGTTGTAGCATTTTGTTTTGGTTACGAGTCTATGTCAGTGCACTACTTCCTTCCTTCAACGCAGAGCATGTGACACATGACATGTCAGCAGTTGCCCTTTATTTTAATAACACTAACATAACATCTTACAATGTCCATGTTTGTAATAATGGTTCTAGTTAATTGTATGATCTCTTTCTGTTTATAGCCTAGTTATCCAACCACAGTCAAATACATAGTTACTGTCACTTTGTTTTTGTTTTTTAGAATATGTTTACCAAGTGGAAAGCAAAGTACAGTACATGTTTCGGAGGTGAGGGCTAAACAAGCAGTGCTGTCGGTGGCCCGCAGAACCAGTTGATGTTTGCTCTCTACGCTGTAGCCAATCAGAAGAGCATTG